ACATTAATAAGCTGATGATGATGATGATGATGATAGAGAATCATGCCAGAATCGACCGCATAGTATATGTACATGTACAAGTCATTTTAATTAAATGATGTTTGCATTCCGAGTCGATGCACTCTCAACTGCTGACACAGTTGACCCAGTAATTGTTTTAAGAACTATATTATACATTATATAACAGTGCAATAAAGGCATTCACATCATTGTGACGTATTTTAATAATTATCTTCTGACAATCGTCCCGTGACTAATTGACATATTGACAGTCGTTAGGGTCGTAGTAGCGGCCCCTAACACTACTTAAAAATATTGGATAAACAAATGAATCAGGAACTTTCAAGAAAAATAATATTATAATTTGTATTATTTTTAAGCATGTAACTGCTTGATGTTTAAATCTAAAGAAAATATAACTAGAAAAAAATCCACACGGACCAGGCAGCAGACGGGACTCGAACCCGCACCCTTCGCAATCCGGGCGAATTTTTCTAGTTATATTTTCTTTAAAAATAATATTATTATGGCGAAATCTCATGCGAAACATTGCTGGTAGAGTCTGTACGGAAAGAGAATGGGATTTAGATTGGAGGGCGCGAGGGTGCTTTTCTACCGTATTTGTAAGGTAAAGAAATCACAACAACAAACAAATCCGTATCAATACAAAACTTTGACGTTTTACAGATTGCTGGGTTTTATTGCCAAATAAAAATCTTAATGATAGTTCCGTTTTTTCGCCAAGCTCATTATCTTTCCGCACAGACTCTAATAGTTTTTTTTTTATAATTTAATTGAACGCTTACTAATCTTCCATTATGCGGCTAATCCCTAAACACAAAACATATTTAATTTGACTCTCGCTCGTTCTGTTCAAATGATTTTTTTCCACGAAGCTTTTATTCAAATTAAACGTGACAGCGAATCCGCGAAATAATATAATGTAAAGTCCAAAAAAACAAACGAAAAGTATAACAATTATTTGAGTAACTCGGTGAGAGCAGTCGTCGGCCGGAACAGCGAGGGATTTCGCAGAAACCGTGGAAAGTTTCCGAAGCACAACTTTGTTTGAGCGGCGTTGGAACGGACCGTAATTATGTATTTTCAATCTAGTCACCTGCCCGTTATAAAGTTGAAACGGGCAGGTGGCAAATAACAATTATTTTGTGCTAAGTCAGTGACTTTTTCTCAGAATTATTGAGATAATGAAGTCTCTTTATTAAGGCCTCTAATTTTTGATTTATAATTTATTTCATTATATTCATTTGAAAACGAATAATTTTCGTACCGCATTTTAGGCAATCTCCGCCCCTGGGGGAGTGTAAGTTTTGGATATCTATCTTTATATATATAATTCTTCTGTGAGTGTGTATGTCACTGAACTTCTCTTAAACGACTGGACCGATTTTGATGAAATTTTTTGTGTGTGTTCAAGGGGATCTGAGAATGGTTTAGATTCACAATTTTGTCCGCTGGACAACCCCTATTTTTTTAGGGCGGTACGAAATTCGCTGGGACAGCTAGTATATATATAAAACTCAAAGGTGACTGACTGACATAGTGATCTATCAACGCACAGCCCAAATCACTGGACGGACCGGGCTGAAATTTGGCATGCAGGTAGATGTTATGACGTAGGCATCCGCTAAGAAAGGATTTTGATCAATTCTACCCCCAAGGGGATAAAATAGGGAATGAAAGTTTGTATGAAACTGTCAATTTTAAACAGATCGGGCTGAGACTTTGCATGCAGGTATAACAAGAATCATAGATGAATGTCATTGTGTATAATACAAGCCTGAGAACAAAAACTGTAGTCTACTACTGAAGCGAGGGCGGGCCGCTAGTTTAATATAACACTATTCAATGACACTGTGTTTCCGAGTACGTAATATTGCTGAAGCCTCTTGAATAGATTTAGGTTAGATTTCTGGAATAAAGGGCGACTAGTTATTGGCTTTTTTCTCGCTCAAAGAACATACAATAGATAGGTATACATTCCATGTAAACAAAAGAGATGCATGCATTAGCTTAGTTGATCGCTGATTGTTCACACTGCCGGCGAGAACTCGCTCCGCTAGTTTGTCACTGAGCGACAATAGCTATCAATGATACAATACAATACAATACAATACAAAACACTTTATTGTACCCCACAGATAACATAACATTTAGTACATAACTGTTTAAAACTAATGTAACAATGGGCGGCCTTATCGCTGAGAGCGATCTCTTCCAGACAACCTTTCGATGGAGAGGAATAGAAGGAAGTGGGTGAGAGGCGTAAATAACTTGACTGATATAGGTAATAATATATACATTCATATACATACACTAGCTGACCCAGCGAACTTCGTACCGCCATAAAAAAAGGGGTTGGTGGTAAAGGGGTGACAATTTAGGGTTGTATGTATTTACTAATGCTGTATCATAAAAAAATTAAAAAAAAATATCTAAAATTGAAAAAAAAATTAGGGGTGGATTACTTTTAACATTTAGGGGAATGAAAAATAGATGTTGTCCGAATCTCAGACCTACCCAATATGCACACAAAATTTGAGAATCGGGAAAGCTGTTTCGGAGGAGTTTAACCACAAACACCGCGACACGAGAATTTTATATGTCGGAGGGGCGAGCTGGATAGGCGGTTGGCCACGTGGTTTTTCTTGACCCGCCATCTTGGTTATTCAATGATATTTCCCGAAAATAAAACTGTAGTCTAAGTGACCAAGCTAACGTTTAATTTGAATCTTCTTATTACTTTACAAAATCAGTTATGATTGCCAAGGTACAAACGGATTGCTTTGTGAAGCGCGGAGAGTTCTGTGCTAACGTCCGTTCACTATCGCGGCTCACGTCTGAATGCCGAATGCCCAATGACGAATGCCCCTTCCAATGAAGCGTCACCCCCTTTAAATACTACCCTTAGCATAGACCACTCCCAAGTGATGACAGCTGTCACTAACATAACTTGACGTTTCACAAAGCAATGGTACAATGACTGATGACATTTGTTGTAGGTTTTACGTTTCGCAGGAGCGAGCGAGACGCCATCCGCCGACATATATATAAGATAAAGATAATACTCGCTTAGCGATACTGGCTCCACGGTGGCTTTTGAAGGTTATCTTGAAGCTCGCTTATCTCAAAACGCGCCCCCGTGCGTTTTTACTCTAGGTTGTCTCCGTGCCCGTAATCGCCCATCGCACCCATTGCACTCGCACACTCGTTTATATCGCCCAGCGATATTCAAATTCAAATTCAAAAGCCATTTATTCAGTTTAGGCTTTTACAAGCACATTTGAAAGTCGAAAACTACGCCATCGGTTCGCAAAACTACGGCGGGAGACCTTGTACTGAGAAGAACCGGCAAGAAACTCAGCGAGGGCTGCTTTTTTCTCCCTGTTTAATTTCATACAGTGTCGTCAAATTGAAAGTTGACATCGAACTTGCAAACATGTGTTGAGGTCAACTTCCCATTAAACCTAAATAAATATCGATATCGATAGAGGAGCTCGATGGCGCGGGAGGTTAGCGCATTCGGCTGCGATCGTTGAAGTTCAGCAACTTTCGCAGTGGTCGGTCATTGGATGGGTGACCAAAAATCTTCTATCTCGAGTTCCTCCGTGCTTCGGAAGGCACGTTAAGCCCAGCTGCATCTGCAGTCGTTAGCACCCGCCCATCCGCATTAGGCCCGCGTGGTGGGTCATGGCCCAATCTCCCTCTTCCATCCATATCCCGAAGGCCTGTACCCCAGCAGTGGGGACATTAATAGGCCGATGATGATGATGATGAAATATCGATATATATCGATAAAACTATCGGAACTATTTACTCGCTTCCCGCTGGTGGCCAACTCGTTTCTAGTTTCTAGCTCTACTTGCATTTAGTGAAACAAGTGCCATAAGCTTAAAAAAAAGAAAATCGCTACATATTTTTCTGTCGCATTTAGAGGACCTCACTGCGATGAAATTCTATGAAACAGATTATTATACCACACAGGCGTCACCTAATTCAGACTAGATTGAGGTGTAACCTTCTTTGAAAGTCGTTCGTTGGCTCACAACTGCCAATTCTACTGAAGAATGGTTCATAATTTTAGAATTACTCATAATTTTATGTTTATTTTTAGTCGCTGGGACCGTGAAAAGAAAAGGTCCGAGTAGTAATCAGTCTAAGTACAAAACTAATGTCAAACTGGAATTCAGTTTACTAAAAGTTATTCTAGATAATATAAATTGCCTGTGTTCTGAGAAATCGTCCTTCGCTACGCCCTTAAATAAAAAAGAAAATTACAGAAATTCACTTCATAATTTCATAAATGGTTTCCAGTAAAGGTTTCTTTGGATTTAACAATCTAGCATTTTATTTTTATTTATTTATTTAATTAAAAAAACCAACGTAACAGACGCCATTCATATTTGTAAGATGGTAGCTTTTTTTACAGACGAGCGTGCCAAGTGACTATATTGAGATTGAATTCTTTGGAGAATCAAAACTACCATTAACTAGCTTAAATAAAAACATATGATAACAAATATTTCGACTATCTAGGCTGAGGAATCGAAGAAGTTTAAGCGCGAATTATAAGAAGGAAGTCTTTCGACCATATCGTACTAAAACGACAAATACAATAAGAATCTTTTTCTTTTGGATTGAGAAAATAATAAGACCTGCTATTACGGGAAAATTGTACAAAATTACATCATTTGTATTGCCTCAATGTACAAATGACAATTCATGTCCTCCTCTATTTTATATCAATTTTAAGATCGTACGCGTATAAATATATCTGTATTATGTAAAAAGCACGACTACGATCCTAAATGTGATCCTTGTGGGACACCAGACGAAACCGTTAACGAGCCGCACTATAAAAATCTTAGACATCTCAAAATAATATAGGAAAACAACTTACAACTCTACCATAAATGTGATGTTGCAATCGGATTAGTTAACTGAAAATGTAAAAAATCTCACCTTATCATTTCTTTGTCAACAGAATTCAAAAGCGAGTCGGCGGAGAGTTCCAGCGTTTCCACCGACAGCTCCCAAGAGGATGAGGAGCCCAAAGAGGCGTGGATGCGAGCACCAGCAGGGGGGGTGGCGGTTAGGAGCGGAGAGGACGCGCTGCTGACCTGCGTGGTGCTCGGCGCCAGAGGTCGCCCGGTGCTGTGGAGACGGGCCAGAGACTTGAAGTTGCTCACCGCTGGGGGAGTCACTGTGACTAGAGACGACCGGGTGCACGTGCTACATGATGACTGTTAGTATAACCATACGTTTACATTTCTTCATATGTTCCTTTAGAAGCGATATTATGGAGTGAGGGGAATACCTTGCTGACCCGAGTGGTACTCAGCGTGAGGGCGCGGCCTGTACTGTGGAGACGAGCCAGGTACTAGAAGCTGCTGACAGCTGGGGGAGTCACTGCAACTAGAGAAGACTGGGTGTACGTTCTTCATGATGAGTGCTATTTTAGCCGTTTATCCATACGTTCATACGGAGGATCACTTGCTGACCTGCGTGGTGCTCGGCGCGAGAGGTCGCCCGGTGCTGTGGAGACGGGCCAGAGGCTTGAAGCTGCTCACCGCTGGGGGTGTCACTGTGACTAGAGACGACCGGGTGCACGTGCTACATGATGACTGTTAGTATAACCATACGTTTACATTTCTTCATATATTCCTTTAGAAGCGATATTATGGAGTGAGGGGAATACCTTGCTGACCCGAGTGGTACTCAGCGTGAGGGCGCGGCCTGTACTGTGGAGACGAGCCAGGTACTAGAAGCTGCTGACAGCTGGGGGAGTCACTGCAACTAGAGAAGACTGGGTGTACGTTCTTCATGATGAGTGCTATTTTAGTCGTTTATCCATACGTTCATACGGAGGATCACTTGCTGACCTGCGTGGTGCTCGGCGCGAGAGGTCGCCCGGTGCTGTAGAGACGGGCCAGAGACTTGAAGCTGCTCACCGCTGGGGGAGTCACTGTGACTAGAGACGACCGGGTGCACGTGCTACATGATGACTGTTAGTATAACCATAAGCACGGTAATATTATCTATACAGTATTGTGACTCGGCCCTGGAGGCCTACTCTATTTCAACGAAAAACGAAATTTCTATCGAAATTTCGCACGTTCCCTACTCTGTTTCCTTTTCATTTTGAAAATTCGTTCGTTCAAAATATTTTGACAATTAAATTCTCCAAGCCTACTGTAATTCACAAAACTTTCGAAGGAAAAGTTGAATTTGACAGATAATTGTTCGAAATTTTAACCTCAAATCGACGAAATGAAAAGTGTTACCTTTTCACTTTCGTTTTGTGATTTTTGTTTTAATTAAGCCTAAAATACTTGCAAGAGTATTTTTAATAATAGCTGCTTAGCTCGAGAAACATTTTTAGCATGTAAAAGTAACAAAATAAACCATTTTTTTATTATTTTTTGTAATTTCGATACCTCAAAGTATTAAACGACAAATTGAGGTTGACATACAGTAGATTGTATCGACTCCACAAATTAGTCGGCTAACACTGTCAAAGAAGGTTCTTTCAATGTCATCAAAAAATTTGCCGTAAACTACCTATTATTCCAAGTAAAAAAACGTTTTCTTAAAAGTAGAGATAAAAAGGACTCAAAAACATGACTCATTCCATTCGTTCACGAAAACTGTTTATGGTTCCGAAGTTAATGTGCCTGTTCGAAAATGAAATAGAGTAGAAACACTGGCGAAATTTCCTTTGAAATTCGTTCGTTACCGAAATTTCGTTTCGGAGAAAGAGAGTAGAGCTCCTGTCCTTGAAATAACTGCCTACGGCCGAGCGGGGCGTATCCACGCGGCAGGGCTGCCCGCCTACAGTATTTTGATTTCATCTACACACATCAAAAGTGTCTAGGGATCAAGCATTTTTATGCGGATTTCTTGAGATTGAGATGTGGCTTTGTAATAAATTTATGATTTTATAAATTTATATGGATCCTTTTTGGTGCATTTCATAATTTGAATCAGGAACTGTGAATCAAATTCGAGTAAAAGATGAAAATCAGCTGTCAATATTTTCCCTATAAAAACATACAACGCATTGAAGACATTATTAGTGCTACTGTTTCCCTACTACTGATTAAAACCAACGTTATTATGGAGCGGCGACGTCATTTAAGCAGGGAAGAAATGCTCAGAGCCGTGGGAATGATAGAAGCTGGTTCCCGGCAACGTACTGTGGCTTTAGCTCTGAATACAAGTCAGAGTGTTATCAGTCGACTTTGGACACGATACCGAAGCACTGGTACCGTGGCTGAGCGCCATGGAGGACGGTATCGCTGCACCACACGGAGACAAGACCGATACATTCAAATCTTAACTCGAAGAGCTCCAACAATAACCGCCATGATGTTAGCCGTGAGGCTTCATCACTCTTCAGGGAACTTAATTAGCGACCAAACAGTCAGAAACCGCTTGCATGAAGTGAACCTTCATTCCCGAAGACCGCTACGGGTACCACCTATAGCAATGCACAATCGTAGGATTCGATATCAATGGGCTCTTGAACACAGAAATTGGGCAGAAGAACAATGGCGTTTCGTGTGCTTTTCTGATGAGTCTCGTTTTGGTATGAGACCGGATACAAGACGTATACGACACTGGAGAACCCCTGAACGCCAACAGCGATTAAAATCCTGCCAGGAAGTCCATCCTTATAGTGGTGGAACCATCATGGTATGGGCGGGTATTTGGATCGGCGGAAGAACTGAGTTGATTTGGATCAGAGGCAACCTCAACGCTCAAATTTATGCTGAGACGATTGTATCAGACGTCATCGTTCCTCTACAAGTGCAAATCGGTCCCTTATTTCAGTTAATGCATGATAATGCACGACCGCACACCGCAAGAGTTGTAAGACAGACTCTCGCCGCAGCTAACATCAATGTCCTGCCCTGGCCTGCTCAGTCGCCAGACTTGAACCCGATTGAGCATGCATGGGATATGCTACAGAGAAGAGCTCTGCCGAATATGGAGGGTATCCAGTCGCAAGAAGACCTTTTTTTGTTGTTGCAACGAACATGGGCGGCCATTCCACAGCGTGATTTGGATGAACTCATTTTGAGTATGCCAAACCGATGTTCTTGTGTTGTTAGTGTTCGCGGTAGAAATACGGATTATTAATTGTTTAAGTTACCCAATAAAATTTTAGAGAAAACTGTTATTTCAGTCTTTTTTTCGAACTTTTGTGTTAGTGGTTCAAATGTCAAAAATCCCTTTATTAGGAAAATGGCAAATTTCTTTATTAATGCAAAGGTGACTTGGTTTATCGTTACTGTGACAAACGAAAACACTTTATTTGATGAATCCTTAAAGAAAATTTTAATTAATATCAATCAGGAGAAAAGTTATTGCAAAAATATATGTTGATCCCTAGACACTTTTGATGTGTGTATATAATTGAGTTTCTTTCTAGTTTTTTTATTGTAAATATTTTATTCTATATGTAAAAAAAATTTTGTGAATGAATTAATAAGTGTTACATAAAATAAATGTTATTTTGAGTGATATATTTAAAAAAAAATACAGATTTAAGGAAAATATTTACGCCTCGACTAAGAGTACGAAATGCTTTATTATTTTTAATAGTATAATAAATACGCATTCGTATAAAAAGTTTAATTATTGAAGAGTTCAAGCAACCAAAAACAGCACAATATCGACTATTGCTTTTTGCCATATTAAATTATGTAGGTATCTATTTAATTCAATCAAATATTCACAATAAGAACGTTTAAGAACGGCTAACTGCTTAAAAAACAATTCACACCGTTCGGTCGTCGCTGCGGCGCATTCGTAACTGGATGCCCACCGGGTGCCGCGCGAACTCGAGTAGCGTAGGTATGACACGCTTTCCGACCGTTTGTATTAAGATAGAATACTGTATGGATAATATTATGCCATAAGTTCATACGGACGATGCCCTACTAAGCCGCTTGGTGCTAGGCGCGAGGGGGTGACCCGTGCTGTGGAGACGAGACTAGAGACCACCGGGTTTACGTGCTGCATAATAACAGTAACTATAAGCTGACATTTCTTCATATATTCCTTTAGAAGCGGTAGTATGGAGTGGGGGGATTACCTTGCTGACCTGAGTTGTACTCAGCGTGATGGCGCGGCCTGTACTGTGGAGACGGGCCAGGTACTAAAAGCTTCTGACTGCTGGGGGAGTCACTGCGTCTAGAGAAGACCGGGTGTACGTTCTGTATGATGACTGCTATTTTAGCCGTTTATCCTTACCTTCATACGGAGGATGCCTTGCTGACCTGCGTGGTGTTCGGTCAGTGTTGTGGCAACCAGCAGGGGAATTAAAGGTGCTCAGGAACATAAAAGACAAATCAAACTTTTTTTTGCAAGAAATGGTAAGCACTCCGGGAGGAAGACACAGGAGACAGTAAAATAATACTACTACCAGTAAAATAATACTAGTACCAGTAAAATAATACTACTACCAGTAAAATAATACTAGTACCAGTAAAATAATACTACTACCAGTAAAATAATACTACTACCAGTAAAATAATACTACTTTTTATTTTTTTTAAGCTACTGCCAAAAAAATAGTATAGTATTTCGAAGTTCCACGACGTGGGGGTAATACCCAAATCCATTGGTTTGGATGGCAAAGTAAGTATAGTTAGATCAGTACACTTCTTTACCGTATCAGCTATTTTCGTGACTGCCGGTAGAGTGCTGCCCTTAAGAAAAGCTATGTATGACATTTCTAGTATACATACAGCCTTAATGACAGGAAGATTCGCTCAATATTGTAACTTGTGAAATCTCACAAAAGCTATTATTTTGTAAGTGCTCATTTAAATCTTCTCATAAATTCCTTGAAAGCGTTTTGCTCAATCTTTTGAAGTGAAATTGTTTTGTGACAACTGTCTCGGAGATCTTAATTAAAATATTGATTCACTGATTATAATACTTGACTTTACCCGCGATTCCATTCGTGTTGTTTGACTAAATATAAAAAAAAATAAGAGAACCTTTAATAGAGATGAAAATTCTCAGAATTTTCGTAAGGACCAAAAACGGAAGTTAGCTTACTGAGAATCGGTAAACTAAAAATTTTAATTCTAAAGCCCACTCAGGCAAAGTCAATTCTTACGTGTTAATTTTTAAAAGCGTTGAATTTTGGTTGCTCCGACAAAATCGATTTATCAGCTGCGATCCGGTGTCTACTTCTGATAAATTGTATATACATTCTCAGTTAATTCACAA